ACCTCTCCCCTCGCCCCCCCGGGTCCCCCCTCCCGCCGGTCTCGCCGCCGCCGCCGCCGCCGCCCCGGTGCGCGCCGGCGAGGCATTTTCGTACCCCACCACTGCGAGGAGAGGTAGCGAGATGGGGGCGAGATAAGCGCGCGGAGGGATCCACGCGAAGGCGAGGCGAACCGAATGTCCGACGGGACGCCTCACTCCATCCCCGAGATGCCTCCGCCAGCCTTAAAGGGGGCCCATAAAGCCGCACTGCCAAGGGCTCGCAGTGCCCCGGGGCCGAGAGGACGCCTGCCTTGGCCCGCTGAGAGGGGGCGCGGCAGAACCTTAGACTTGGGGAGGCAGGGAGGACACTCCCAGGAGGCTGCAGAGCAAATGACTCCCTCCTAGAGCCCCTGGAACAGCCCTATGAAGACTGGCCATGAGTTTTGCATTTCTGAACACGGGGAACTTGGACCAGCAAAGTTGACAGACCGGACCGTGCATTTGGTTGGGTCTAAATAGTTTGATTAAAGGTCATAAGTATGGTCCCAACTCTTGGCGTTATCAAACGAATCAAAGTCCTTTCCAACAGAAAGGGCCTTGTGGAAACGAGAGGTACATTTACAATTGACGCACTGCATACCTGGCTGAGGCTTCTAGGTTAATTGATATTTAATGAAAATCATGCCCATGAATATAGTTTCCATCATTTCACCCTTGATAGACGTCAGTATTAGGAACCAGGGAGACTGTAGAATGTGGGAAGAGGGGCATTAGCACTGCTGAGGGAGTAAATAGAGGAGCGGACAGAAATGTTTCTAGCCGAGAAAGAGGACTCACGCTGGGGTGGGTGGCATTTCCTAGGTCAGGACTTGAGACTCCCAGGTCTTAGCCCCCATGCCTGCGCGAGCAAACCTGAAAAGACTGTCCCCCGGCTGGCGCACCGGGAACCGACACTCGCGAGTCCCCCTTGGAGCCTCAAGACTGGCATTCGGATCGCGCTGGTTCTAGGCTGCTGCGGGCGGCCCGGTGTTCTGCTAACTATTCTAGTTAATTCACCTAACCTGTGAGATAAGCTGTGTGAGAGTGGGCTCGGAGGCTTATCTTAAAGTTGCTAATTTTTCCCGAAAGAAAAGGAAGAAAAAAAGTTAAGCCTAGTTTGTGATTAAAGAGGAGGAGAAGCAGCCAGAGTTATGTATGGATTGTTGAGTATGAATCGGTAAAATATTCCTGATTTTAGCAGCTCCCTCCCGAGTTGCTTGGCATTACACCACCAACCTTCTCTCCACGCTTCTTCTCTCTTCTCCCGTTTTAATAAATGTAAAACATTTAATAAATGCCATTTAATAAGTGTTCCAGTAAATGTAATGGTTCTCCGCTGAGTATTTTTTTTCTCTTCTACTCAGCCTTTTTCGTGAGTTCCTTGGATGCTGAGCCTCTTTCCCTTCTAGGTAACCCAGTGTTGAGAGGGCTTGAGACCCACTGGCCTTGGGAACAGACCTCAAAGACACGCCCAGCCCACCAAGGACGATCTGGTTTAAGCTACAACACACCACGCCGGCTTTCCACACCAAATGTAATGCCTAAAAAACCCAAATGGCTTCGAAGTCGCAGCAGGCCAGTGATTTCAATTATCCTGGCATTCCTTGTGAGTTGGCCCAGCTTGTGTGATTGGGAATCCTGAGGGTCGGTCCATCGGACTGAATATCATTTTTACAAACGGAAAAAATTAAGGTTGAAATGGAAAGGCACAGAAAAATAATATTGTCTGACCCAACTATTTCTACAAGGAATGGCTGGAAATGGTGAGGTTACACAGATTGTTAATGGATCTGGAAATAAAGCCCTGCTTTATTGAAATTTTAGTAAAGAAGGCTGAAGACTTGTTTTAGGGGTGACAGGGGGGTAAGATAATATATAAAAAAATTTTTTTTGTTTTCCTTTTGTTATTGCCAAGCATCACCAGATAGCTTTCTTTGAATTCAGAGGGGAAGGAACTGGTTCTAACAGTTAAGGGTTTATACTTCTATTTTGCAAATATCCAATTAAAAGATTATTTTCAATAAAAACTGTAATGGTAACTCTGTAATGGTGCCTTTTTATTTCACTATTCGGAGTGTGTGTGTGTGTGTGTGTGTGTGCGCACGCCCTTGCATGCTATGTGCCCGCTGGTGTTTGAACCCTGATAAATGAATGGGTTTGGGAATGGAGTTGGGAACAAATAGAAGAGATAACCCAAATCTCTATGTCATAAGACACTTTTTAGAACTGTGTGATTCATGGGGTGGGGCTGGGAAAACAACACTACTAAATGCATTTCTACACATTCCGGCCTAATTTAGAAAATATTAAAATACAATTTTCTCTTTGGACAAAACACATTTTTTAAAATTTTCATATATAATCATTTTGTTTATAATCTGAATAGAAAAAGAGCAAAATTAGCTTCGTAAATAAAGATCTATGCTGTTACACGTTTTCGTTTTGATAGAATGAATTGATTTAGCATAGCGTTTTGGAGTTTCGCTGTACCAAAGTCCAAATTTTCCGAAATCCTGGCTGAGCCAAATTTTATGCCTGGAAAAAACTGATGGACAAGTTAGCAGTGCACATTATTTGTTTTTGGTTAAATTTATCTTAATTTGGAATTAAAAATAAGATTGTAATTATTTTTAATCAAAACCTTTCTCCACCGCAACTACAGCTTTATGAGATCAGAAAATGGAGCAACAGCGCTCTCTAGTGGCCAAATGCCAATCGCGCGGACCGAGTTCAACTTCGTTTTTATTTCTCTCAAACCAATTCTAGTCTTGTTCATTAGTTTGACTGGGGTTTGGACCACTGACACAATAATGCTTCTCTATTTGATTGTCAACAAGTCGACAGAGCCTCTTCAAAGCTGAGAATAATTTTATTTGTGCTCCCAAGAGCTTATAGTAGTGTCTTTGCCAAAAGCTTCCAGCACTTTTGTTGGATACTTTAGGTCCACATTCTGTAATAGCCCAGCTGTGCCTTTTAGCACAATTATAGGACAGGCTAGATTTAACAAAACTCAACTTTTAAAATATCAGTTTTCGAGAAGCTTTATTTTCCCTCAAAGGAACCAAGCACTTCAACAACTAAGGAAGTATGGAAGTCAGGAATTGTATTTTTTCTTTTAAAGCTGTTGCTTTTAGCATGAGATAATAAACATTTCTATTTTAACTTTCTAAATTTGATGATCTGGGCCCATTTAGTTGGGCAATTTGGGAGGAGTGAGGCCAAATTGAAAGTTTTTTTGCTGGATTTCTGAATGGCTGTCTGGAAAGTCCCTTTTGGGCTTGTGTTCCTTTGAAATTCTATGGACAGTAATGGGATTTTAAACTTTTATAACAAAAGTTACCGACAGAGCCAAATTGACTAAACATTCCACTTGATTTTTTTTTTTTTAAAGCCCAAACTATTAAATCAGCTTAGGTGTTTCCTGATAGGTTAATCTTTTTTTCTGTCTCATTTTAAAAAATGCGTTCTGCAAGTTCAGGTGTAATGGTTGTATTTTTGATAAGTGAATATATTTCAATATTTTTGCTGTGAAGTTTGGAATGAAGGGCCATATATGTTTTTGTAAAGAGGCATGTAACTTCATCTTTTCCCACAGACTATATTTCTGGAGACTCTTTTCTGAGTAAATGACCCAAGCTCACTAACCTTCCTACTCTCAAGTAACAGGGTGTTGTAGTGTTTTGCTTTGTTTGGTTTTGGGTTTTTTTTTTTTTTTTTTAAGAACCAGCTAGAGTGTGGCCACAGTCAAAATATTATAAAGAGCCAGTCGCCTTAAGCTACTTCTAATGCTCAGCCCATTTTAAAAACCAGAAACACATCACCTTCTTCTTCCTATCTCTCGTTTTTATTTCCTATGTGCTCACACCTCACTCGGGGGCTCCCTAGCCCCTGCCTTCTCGGTTCAACACAGTCTTGTTTATATTTTATTGTCCAGATTTTAAGACCCAGTTTTGTCTGCATTTTTCCTTTCCTCTCACAAACATCAAAATGAGATGGTTTCAAAGCGAAGCGCCTGGCCTGTCGTAAACTCATTACCTCCAGACGTCTCGCCGGCTCGATGGCTTTATGACACCTTGGCTCTTCCTGTTTTCAAAGAGCTCTAGGTATCGGGCTGGCTGCAGGGGTGGGGGGTACACAGCACCTCCGCCAGATCTGGGCCTTGGCTTTCTGTCCCAGCCCCCCTCTGCTTTCTCTTCGAGTCCCCTTTTTCATCAGGATCCCCAAGATCTCTGCCACCGCCCCCGCCTTCCGCTCAGCCCAGGCCGCCCGGCGCCGCCGCCTCCTCTAGGGCCTGCAAAGACTATGCTCCGCCTGAACCCTCGCTTACAATGACCTTCATTTTAGCCTCTGAATGCGGACCTTAGAGGGCCAATCTGGGGGCTAAACATACACAGAAGCTGGGTGGAGGGAAGGGGGCGGCGGAATGAGGGTGGCCGAGAGTTGTTCCTTGACCATTTTGATCCGCTAAGGTCACTTTGGGGATCCTGTGGGGAGGGGCGAAAGCTCACAGCTTAACCAGCTTGGACCTCCCGGAGCCAGCTAGCCCCGCTGAGCTGGGAGAGTAGCTCCAGAGCGCAGAGTTGGCCTTTCTCTTTTGGAGACCGGGGTTGGCGGCTGGGGCTCCATGGGTTGAGGCAGGCGTGGGGTGGGTTATGTCAAAGCCTTAGTAAAAGTGTGGTTGGTTCCTGGGGTCTGCCGGCTCCCCCAGACGTTGCTGCGGTGCTGACAACTGGGCCCAGAGCACAGAGTTCATTGAAATGCTAGCACCAAGATGAGGGAGGCGCCAAGACTCCCTCAGGGGCTGCACTCCAGGCCAGGTCAGCCCACACAAAGGAAGTTCAGAGGAACATCAGAGAAACCTGCCAGTTGGAAGGGCCCCGATTATTAAGCAATGTCTCCCAAGAATAGAGGCAAAGTCTGGTAAGGGTGATATTTTTGTAGAGTCAGAGAAGTGACACAATGTTCAGGACCAGCGTCTGGGCTCCATTTGATCAGGTTAGCATTTATTGGTAGGAAGCATTAACATTTACAACTGGTCCTCGAGCAGGAACCCTGAGGGCCACAAACCAAAGCAGCTCACGTGAGCCCAGCCTTCCCAGAAAGAGTAACTGCTCCAAAACATTAAGAACAGACCCCCACCCACCCACCCGAGGCCCCAGGCTTCTTCCTAGGCCTCACTCGAAGTCTCAGCCCGCGGGGTCCCTGTTGAAAGTGGGCTTTCAAAACCCGGTGGGTGACCGAACCACTCAGGCTTAGGCCTGGGCGAGCAGCTGGGGTATGCACAGTGTCTTCCTCTGCCTTCAGCTTCTCGGATTGGGGCGCGCTTGGTCCGGTTTGGTGAGGCTCCCGGAGCTAAACTACAGCACTTTTCAGAAACATGGGGCACATTAACACATTGAGAGGGCTCCTCAAGCCAGCGTGCACTCACAAAATATAGCATTTCCTAAGGAACCGATGAAGCAGGAAAGGGAGGGAGTGGAATAGATGAAACCCCAAAGCCACTTGGTTTCTCCAACACAGAAGCGAGCAAATACAGAGTTCCCCAAATACCTCACAGAGACCAACCACACAGTCACTTCTACCAAGGGGGAGAAAAAAAAAAAGTCTGAGTCGCTGCAGAGTTTCTGGAAATCAAGCACCCACAAAGATAAACTCCGTTGCCTTTGAGAGCTGCTGCCGGTACCGAGCTGGGTCAGTCTCCTTTGGGGCATTTCTCCTTGCTCATCTTTTTCATTTTCATTCTACGGTTCTGGAACCAGATTTTGACCTGTCTCTCTGTGAGGTTCAGAATCCTGGCCACCTCGTAGCGCCGGTCCCGGGTGAGGTACATGTTGAAGAGGAATTCCTTCTCTAGTTCAAGCGTCTGGTATTTGGTGTAGGGACAGCGCTTTTTCCGGGTGGAGCGAGCGTGGATCCAGTTCGCTGCGGGGTTGTCTACGAAGAGGGGGGTTTACAGAGGAGAGCGAGGGGCGGAGGGGAGGCAGGGAGAGACGACAGGGTGGGGAAGAGAGGTCGTTAAATTAATTTCACCAAGGATGGCCGCTTTTCACAACTTGGGGGGAATTATCATAAAAAGCCTTAATGCTCGCGCTGTTTACCGTACAAACCGCGCGCCCAGGGTAGGTGGTTATGGGAAGCTTTTTTATGGATGCGTGTTGCTCGCCTAGGCATGGGTAGGCGTCTAGACGTTTTTATAGGTTAGTAAAACTATCAGTTTTGCACATTCGAGCCTTACAGGTTTCAGCAATAAATCAGAGGGCAATTTCTTTTGCACTTACTTGGGTCAAGTTGCTGCTGCGGCGGCTGCGGATGCTGCTTCTCCTCCTCCTTCAGCGGGCAGCCGGGGCTCGGGTGATCACTGCAAGCCGAGGGCTCCGACGAGCCGCCTGCCCCGGGCCCGGACCGGATCCCCGCCCCGGGCCCGGTTCCCCCCGCCGCCGCTGCAGCCTTGTCCCTCAGGAACGAGTTGCACGAGAAATCGGTGCCGCCGCTCCCCTGGGACTCCCGGGCCGCAGAGCACTCAGTCCGTTTGGAGGAGGAGGACGAGGAAGTGGAGGAGGAGGAGGTGGAGGCTGCGACTGGGGCCGGGGCCGCTCCGGTTTCAGGCTTAATCCCGTAGTGGCGCCCGTTGGCTGGGCCACCGGGGCCAGGACTGGGACCAGGGCCCGGGGCGCCGCCTCCGCCACCGCCACCGCCACCACCACTGCCCGCGCCACCAGGGAAGCCGGGCAGTGGCTCCATCCAGGAGCGCACGTAGCGGCCAGGCTCGGAGGCAGCGGCAGCGGCGGCCAGGGGCGGCGGGGGCACGTACGGGTGATACAGGCCGCTCATCGCCGCCGCCGCCGGGGGCTGGGCGGGCACCGCGGACCACGAGGCAGAGAACACGGCCGATTTGGGGGCAAAACTACACGAGGCGAACTCGGCGGCAGACGCTGCCGGGCTGTCGGCCACACCTGCAGGCCGGCCCTGCGCGCCTGGCCCCGGTGGCCCGAAGCGTGCCGCGAACACCTCGTCGCCCTCATGGCCTATGAGGGAGTCCACGTAGTAGTTGCTGAGGGTGCCACTGGAGGACATTTTGAGGCGCCGTGCGCTCCCACCCAAGGTTACACTGCCCGCCGCCGAGCCGCTCCCCGCCGGCTCCGGAGCCGCCGACTAGTTCGCAGGCTGCAGCCTCCACCATTGGTCGCGCGGCCCACGTGATCATATTTACCAATACCGGGAGTAAATCAGTCCGCTAAACTGGGGGCTGCTGTGATTTTAAAAAAAAAAAAAATCATCATCAACATAAGCGCGATAATTAGAGTCCGTAGGCCCAGGTATAGGAGCCCGCTCGGCGTGGCCCGGCCCGACTCGGCCCGGCCAGCCCGGCGGTGGCTGGGACCACAGGCCCATCAGCGGCCGGAGGAGGCGCTGGGGACTATTTGTTCATCTCCTTTTGCCACTCTGGGTCCTGCAGTCTCGACCAGGGCTCTGGCTCTCCAGCTCCTGGGCTCAGAGCCGCGGGTCGCGCGTCCACAGGCTCACCTAGCACTTAGCCAGAACCTTGAGCAGCCGGAGGCAGGCGGGCCTTTAAGGGCGGCCCCCTGGCGCCCAAGGGGAGTTTTCTCCCCTCGTTTCTCTCGCTACCTAAACCCACCCCTCCCCACACATACATACATACACACACACACACACACATACACACACACGCTCTCTCACAGCTTGTCGTGTTGTTTAAAACAGGTGGAAGACCTCTGTAATGATATTATGCCTTTCAATAAAAATTTTATGAGGTGTATTTGATTATAGATTAATGTGTCCCTAATAAAACGGACGGATGGAGCAGCTCGGAGCGCCCCCTCCCCCTACCACATTCACACACGCCCGCGCAGCCACACACAGCCTCGACGTGAGGCTAGGCACACGCCGAGGCCGGAGGGGAGAGTCGAGGCGGCCTGGCTCGTGGACAGGCCCAGCCAGGCTCAGCGTCGGCGGTGGCCGTGTTGGGGATTTCTGTCAGCCCTCGGAAGGGCCAGCGAGCCGTGGAGTCTACAGCGCAAACAGTGTCGGTCAGGGTCCGTGTCTTCTCCCCGGCTGCTGAAGAGGCCCTGAAAGAAAACACGCGACAGAGGGAAGAACCCAAATGCCAGTTCGGGCCGGCCCCCACCAGCTGCCCTGTCCGGGCTTCAGTGAGGCCTGTGGGAACCGCGTCTCCCAGGTCAAGGTTGTTTTGCGCCTTTCTAAGAGGCCTCCAAGTAGATTCCCGAAATACGTGGAGAAAAAAAAAAAAAAAATCCAAAGGGACAGATCCTTGGGCCACTCCTTTCCCAATTCTTTTTCTTGCTTCCAGAGGTAAAGCTGGGCAGCCTTGAATCTGAGGGAGATGCCCATTGTCACTCCCAAATCCATGGTACAAAGCCTCTGAAGCCTGGCCGGTAGCCGAGACAAAAGCGGCCTGAGTGTCGCCGCCGGCCTGAGGGCATATTACTCGCTCTACAAGTTGCCCAGCACCTTTGAGGACTCCCAGCCCACCTCCAACCCCGGAAAGAAAGGGGGTAAATAGCTACTTGTGGTCTGATTGATTGCCTTTGCCAATGGCTTTCTGATTTTGTTTCAGAGGGAATGCCCTTTCCTGTAACATGGAAAGGTTTTCCTCCCTGACATGGTCCCCAATCAACAACTAAAGGCGCTCCCCACATCGCTGGGAGAAATGGGGAAGTTAAAAGTACACTCCATCTTTTGCCCAACCAATGTAAATCCGGGAAAATCTATTCCAGTGTTCCCAATCTAGCATGGATACAGATCCCTCCTCCTCCCATCCTTAGGAAATGATGCCTCTAAAGGATTCTGTCTGGGAACTTGGGATGGTTCCTGGTCTGGGGGAGGAAGTTTAAAACTGAATAAATACTGAGTGTCCCAAAGCCTCCCTGGCTGAGGACTCTGAGTCTCAGAGCTCCTAAATAGATTGTTCTTAAGGGGGAAAAGGGAGGGGGATGAAAAGGACCCGTTTTCTGAAACTCCATTAAGCTATTGGAGGTCCTCTGAAATTGCAGCCAGTACCTGGAGCAACGAATTTTCTGTCAAATTTCCCCCATAATGTTTCTCCTCCCTTTTCCCTGGCAGGACTAGATAAATCTGGGTTCCATGATATGGATTCTGCAGATGCTAGTGGGAATTTCCCAAGCCATGCCTGTAAAAGGAATATTGGACTTCATGGAAAGTCATGTTCACTTGCATATTCTTTCAGTCATTTTTTTCTATACCTTCTTGCTTTTTATAGTAGTTACAACTGCATTTTGTAATTAAATACTAAGAGGTTTGGCTAGAGAGAATCTTTTCATTTCTTCCTTTAAAATTTTTCATATGAGCCACTAAAAGGTAATGACTGAGCATAAAATCCTTCTACAAGGAAAGCAAAGCAACATGTGCTGGGAAAACTCATCCATCCTTCCCTTTCACTGGGGCCTGGCTGTCTTGCACTTGAGATAGGGGTGGGGTTGTGCAAAAGGGAGAAAATTGGATGCCATGCAATGCTAAGCTGTTGTTTGTCCTTGCTTCTGTAATGGAGGCCCGGTAGTTTCCAGGTGGACAAGACTAGTTTCAACCTAGCCCCTGAGGATGACTTCCCAGCCAGAAATCACCAAGATCTCCCTGAAAGCATTAAAAATAACACAACCAAAACCCACAGAAAAAAATCTCTCTCTCTCTCTCTCTCTCTCTCTCTCTCTCTCACACACACACACACACACACACACACACACACACAGGCAGCTAAGAGGAAAAAGCAACTTGTGGCACAAGCTTACTTACCAGGCTCAGGCTAGAGGAAGCTCACACCCTTTGAGAGTGGAATTATATTCTATAGTTGGGGACTGGGAGAGGAGAAAGGACTCTCTTTTCTCATTTATGAAAAATGCAAACCCAGGCGATTATCACTCTTCTTCTCCCACCACTGTCCAATTCTAGCACCATCTCCTGCTCCCGTCACTTCCCCCACCCTACTGCCCTAAAAGCAGTTTAACCAGAAGAGAACCTCCCCAAAGGCTTTCATTTCCACCATAATATTTTTCCATTTCAGAAAGCAGAAGGAGCAAACTTGTTTCCAGAATTTATTGCATTATACATGCTACCAGAACATGCACAGAAAGGACAGGTTGCTGTTGTACTTCTACCAAACCACAGATGCACCACAAGGGAAAGGCTACAAGGCATAAGTTGTCAATATTCCATCTCACCAAGGACAACTGCTAAATTCATTTGTGAAAAGATACATTGTAATGTGCTTTTTAAGTCCCCTCCCCCCAAAGCTTGTGGGTTTTCTTAATCTTTCTTAAATATATATATATATGTGTGTAATTTAAAAAGTACTGGATGTTTTCAAAATGTCATTAGTTCATGATTAACCACACACAGAGAACTTTTGTGTTAGAAAAAAAAACATGAAAAAGGTCACATTGCTGGATGGATGGATGGATGGATGGATGGTTAGATGGATGCTCTACAGTTCCAATAAGTTAAGACCCAAATGAAAATGTGCAGTAATAGTTACCCTGCATTATGATGAAAAAATAATAAATTACACGTGGTAAGTTTTTTTAATATATATATATATATATATATATATACTCAGGGATTACAGATCACTTGCAGCACGAACAGAATGACCCCAAAGTCACATTCTAGCAGGAAAACAAAACAAAACAAAAACAAAAAAAACAAAGAGCAATGAAGGTTTTGTTTCCACCTTCCCAGTCCTCCAGCACTGGGCTCTGGAACGCGGTGCCCCTCTCTGATCCTGGCCTCCCACCGGCCCTCCGACCTAAGAAAAGGTGAGGTTGGCGGTCAGTTCTCGGATCCGGTTCTCTCGGCTCATCTTCTTGAGTTTCATTCGGCGGTTTTGAAACCAAATCTTGACCTGCCTGTCGGTGAGGTTAACGCTCTTACTGATCTCTAGGCGGCGCTCGCGGGTGAGGTACATATTGAACAAGAACTCTTTTTCTAATTCCAGCGTTTGGTGCTTAGTGTAAGGGCACCTCTTCTTTCTGCCACTCTTTGCAGTAAGCCAATTGCTGGTTGGAGTATCAGACTTGATTTCCTCTAACAAAATTAAAGGGAGAAGAAAAAAAATCAAGAAGTTTTTTTTTTTTTTCTTTCTCTCAGTCTGTTCAAATATACCCTTGGCCATGACCTGCTGGCAGGCAGGCTGCTTTGGGCAACCCTGGTATTAAACATTACTCCAGAGATGGACCCTGGAAGGGATTTTAAATGGATGCCAAATTTCAAACTAAATGCCCAAAGTGACATGGGAAGACAGTCTGCATCAGTGGGGTCTCTCTCTCTCTCTCTCTCTCTCTCTCTCTCTCTCTCTCTCTCTCTCCCTCTCCCTCTCCCTCTCCCCTCCCTCTCCCACACATGCAAGCACACGCGCAACTTTCTGACTCAAACAAAACATTAGTATAAAAGTAAACTTTTCTGTACCTCCTAGTGACATTCTCAGTGGTCAGCTCATGACAGAGCAGGAATGGAAGAAGCCATAGCCTAGACAAACCTTCCAACCCCATTGCTTCCTCAGGTCCCCAGATCTGTTGCTTCTTCTCCTACCTACCCTAGGCAGGCAGGGAGCTCCATAGCCAGGTTTATAGGTGCCTAGTCTCTAAAGATAAATGAGGAAGCAAGGATATCTTCTCTACTCTGCCTGAGTATTGTTGCATTTACCCCAGAATTTCCTGAATTCTCATGCCTTCTTGCTCCAACACAAAAGCATTCCCCCAGAAATGTAACCTGCATTGTGGCCCACCTCTGGGCACTGGGAGAGAGGCTCAGGGGATAGGGTTCCTTCTCAAAAATCCAGATCCCTGGTTCTTTGCCCTAGTCCAACCCTAAGGCTGGCCCTGGGAAGTGGGCAATGCGGTTCTGTTCTCCCCCCATGTGCCTTTGCCCTCTTTGTAGACGGATTGCAAAGCCTGCGGCACTTTTCCCAGACAAAGCCAAGGTTATGCAGCCCGGCAAAGGCAGGAATCCCTGATTCCCCCACTCAAGCACCAAGCAGTCCAGCCATCTCGTTACCCTAACAGACCCCAAGCTCGCAGGATGCGGGGTATATACACTTGAACACGAACACGGTGCCTTGGGCCACCTTAAAATAATCATTTGGGTGCAAGGCAAAACTGAGATTCCAAATATGAGCTGGAGAAAAGAGGTACTGGGGCCCTGTTTACGAGCTGCAGGTCTCCTTTGCCTCTTTTGTTGCGTTTCAGGTCTAGCTAAGGAAAAATAAACCCGGCAAGCCTTTCCTCTGCCCAGGCGCCATCAGCGTGGGGCCAAGACCGGCGGGGAGGGCCAGGCAGCGGGAGAGAAGCAGGGACCATCTCAAAGCTGAGATCTCCCTTCTGCAAGCCGGGCGGGAGCAGCACCTGCAAGTCGGGCAACCGACTCCGCTGCCTGGGCTCCGCGCTGGGCACCCAAGCGCTCCCTCTCCGCTGGGTTTCCAGACTGCGCGCCCCGCTGGGGTGGCAACTCTGTTCATACCGACCTTTGCTTTCCTTCTCCTGCACTTCGGGACTGGACACGGAGACCTCAGCCAGGCAGCTCCTCTCTTCGGGAAGGCCGCCTTTGGCCTCAGGGCTCTCCACCTGGGAGACTTTGGTGGGCTCCTGGCCGCTCACGTTTTCATTCATCTTCTTTTCCATCTGCAGCTGGGCAGCGGAGAGCTGCGGCTTGGCCGCGCCACGAGGGTTGAGCTGGAGCATGACAGTGGAGCTGCCTTCGGGGCTGTTATTGTACTCTTGGGTTTTCCCGGTGGCGTAGGTCTGACTCAGTCTAAAATATCCAGGGACAGGAACCTCGGGGTTCTCAACGGGACAGGACTCGGGGACCAGCCTCTGGTACGAAGGGACCTCGGCAGAAATGAGTTTGTTGCGCTTATCAGAATACATGCAGCAATTGGATTCTTCTTTAATGTTGGTGGTGAAAGAGCAAGTGGGGACTTGCTGTGTAACAGGTTGCTCTATTCGACAAGATCTGTTCGGGTCTGTCCAACTGTCTACTTGAGGTATATAAGGATGCACATTCATACCCATATTTTGGTGGTTCACTTCTCTTTTGGCCAGAGACGGGAGCAGTCCACAGGTTTGCATTCCATAGGTCCCCATGTCTGCGCTAGGTGGTGGCATGTACATGCTGGCGCTGCTCGAATAAAAACTGTCACTCCTGCAGGCACTGATCAAGGAATCTACTAAAAAAGTATTAGCAGCAGGAGAGCTGTTGGGAAAGGACATTTTGGGGAGGAATTTGAAGAAGAGAGATTGTGTCCTTTGTAGGCTGACATCTCTAGGAAAACATTCCCCGTGTAATTGTGGATGCCTCTGCCGACCACATGACAACCAAGCCAATGAGATTTGAAAATGGCCTTGAGCCGCAGCCTCCTCGCAGGTCACGTGCTCCAGAGCCAGGCCGGCCGGCCGCGTAAGCACGGACAACAGCGACATCTACTACGCGCCTGCGATAGTGCGCGCTAGAGACGACTGGCCCAGAGCTCTCCGCCGCCCGCTCTCCTCCCCGCCTCCCCGCAGCTCGTTCCGTCTGCCTGCCCCACTCGCGTCCACCGCCTCAGCCACCCGGCTCCGCCGGCGGAAGGAAAGGCTCTGTCGGAAGGACCTCGGGGAGGACACGCGCGGGGAGGGAAGCTGGATCTCTGTGGCGCCTGCACACAGAGGCATATTCCAGCGCACACACCCAGGCAGAAACGCGCCCAAAAGGGCCGGGTCCGGGGCAGACGGTTGGGGCCCGGGCTGATTAATTTAGTGCCGGGCAACCCGGGAAGGTGAATCATATTACCCTGATCCTGAGACATCCCACTCCAGGGGTCCAAAGGAAAGATCCCGCGTGCAAAGGTGCGGCCAACGTGTCCCTGGAAGCGGAGGCGAAAAGGGCCGCGAGGGCCGAGAGGCCACGCAGCTGGCCGACTCCGGAGCCCCAAGGATGAGCCCGGCCCAGCGTCGTCCTCTCCCTCGGCCTTCCCGCCCCAGCTCTGAGCCCCTCCGCGCCCCTGCGAGCTACTGGAGCCTTTGGTTCTCAGAGGAACCACACCCTGACCTTTGAAGGGCCGGGCCGCTGGGAGCTTTCAGCCTGAAGACAGTCCCTGGCCAGCCGTTCTCTATCGGGAAAGCGTCCCTCGGGCTCCCAGCGGGAGAACTAAACGGAGATTTCCTTCCTCACACACCCTGATAATAGAAGGCAGAGAGGAAGGGAGGGAGAAAGAAAATAATTTTCTAAAGGAAATAGGAAAACTCTGACCCTCAGACTCCAGAAGTTTTAGAAAACTGACTGGGCCAGGCAGGAGAGAGAGAAATGCAAAGGTGTCATTTGGTTTTTCTGCAAAGAAAAATACGTTTTCCTTTTATGGATTTTGTAAAAGCATTGGTTTCTGACAAGCGCAAGGTACAAAAGGTTGTGGAATTTATTAATACATATTAAGAAGAATCAGGGCGATCAATAAAATTCTCATCTACATTCTTGAGCTACTTGGTAATTTTCTTGCTTCTGAAGGTTTTTAAAGAGTTATACCCGCTGTTGCCACACACGGGAAGATATTTTATTAACAAATCAATCGAGACTTTGTAAAGGATAAGATTAATAGTTAAGATTTAGCATAATGGCGTTCGCTTTATGAATTATTGAAAATTATACTATTGATTTTTCCCCTTCACTACTAACCAAGAAGGTCAATTTTTGTTTTAACGCAAATCGTCAAATATTTAAAGCTATACTTTTGTGTCAAAAGTTGAGTTCTATAGTTTGGGACAATCCTTAAAATTATTTGACAAGATTTTGATTGGATAAGAGGGGGAACAGATGGGGGAATCTGTCCTCTGTTTCCTCTGGTGAGGGAAAGTTCTATAAAGAGGATATGGTCTGGAGTTGTGGTCTAGCTCATTAAGGAACAACCACCGACCACTACCAGCATGGAAATTCAGAGTTTTATGAGAAACTTGAACAACTTCCTCCCTCCTCTGGTTGCAGGCGGGTGAGCCGCCCAGCGGAAGCCCTGGCCTCCGACAGCAGCAGGGAGCTTTAACCTTGATTTCCAAAGACTTTCCTTAGGTGAGGGGCCCTGCCAGCACAAGGGAGTCATCCTTCCACCTTCCGGATCCCCTTCTGGGCAACCAAGAAAGGAAAGCGGCCCGGGGAGACTCTGATGACCATGAACCAGTTCTCTGTTCCCGAAGGCATCCGTGTTCTTTTCCCCACACTCACTCAGGCATGGGCTGGCCTTGGATTTCAGGCCCAGAGACTGAACTTGTGGGTAAATCGGGTTTCCGCCTCAGCAGAAAATTTCCTTGGGGTCCAATGCTCATTAAAGCACCTCTGCATCCTGGGGACCTAGTAGCCCGCCTGCTTCTTCACAAAAACCTTTTCCAACAAGCCCTTTGGCCCCCTCCCCAAAAGGAATTTCCCCTGGCCTGGTGAAAACAGGCATTGGACATTATTTTCGGCCTTGGGACCAATTCGCCTGTCCCCTCTCAGTGCCCTCGCCCAAACAATAACCCCTTTTAAAAAACTCCGAGGTGGCAATGAGACAGACCTTTTAAACCTTTACGCAGCTGTTCAAATACAACATCATTGTCAGGTTAAAAGCCTGGCGCCTCTAACTGCTCAGGCTGAAGCACCCTGGCTTAGGCGGAGGTTTAAACATTACCTTTCCACAGGGTGGGTATTTTTAAGTTTGGGAATGGGAGTTAAGGAAGGCAGAAGAAAAACAACTTTGGGCTCTAGCTTGCAAAGATTCTGTTCAAAGATAACAGCAACTGATCAGCTCCCCAAAACTTCCTTTCTCACACTGTGGAGATCCTAATCTGAGCCACAGCTAACCATGCCCAGAGCTAAACAAAGTGCCCGCTAGCTATACTTGCGTTCGGCAGGCGCCCTGTCGCCAGCTTGGCGCTCCAGCCTTGTGTTCCTTTGCATCTGGGCCAGGAGTGCTGCCCAGAATTCGGTAGCCCAATTTAACCTATCTCTACCAAGGCAAGACTGTTCAATCTAATCAGGAATTTTATGCCCATCAAATGCCTTTTTATAATTCTTATTTATACATGAAGAAAACATCCAGGCTAAAAACAAGCAATTGTTTTTTTTGCAGAGCGGGTAGGTCTTCTATGAACCAGGACAGGCAAGAGCTGCCTTCTGCATTTGGGAGCCTTTTTGCTTTTAGCTCTCTGTGATTTCAAGCTCAAAGTCTCCCACATTGAATTCGATGTTAAGAAGTCTTCACTCACAGGGGGAAAAAGTGTATATCAGAGTTTTAAATTTATTCTCACAAAATTCTTTTTTTTTTTTTAATTTCAAATGTTTAGCTTCAGACCCGTTCCTTGGGGCCAGAGGCCATTAATATTTTAGAGATTTTTATCTTAAAAATCAAGAAAAACAATAATACGAGAGAATGATTTGGATGGAGGATAATAAAAAATGAACCTTAAGACTTAAAGGCTGAGATGAAGCAAATGGAATTAAAAGGCAGTGGCTTTAAAGGCAACCTTTATTTTGCTTAGAGCATTAATGTAGTTGCTGATTTCGATCATATTTAGATCAGTTGGGACAGTTACCATTAATAATAAATCAATATTGCATCATAAAAGAGATGGATACCCATATTTGTATCAAGACACCCTTCTCCCTGGCACAGTTATTTCCAGAAAAAAAAATTAAAAGGGCCGCCTTAGCAAGAAATTAGCGTTTGGAAATTTTTTTAAAAGTGACTTGCATCTGCACTCTTCTGTCTCTGGAAAGAAGATTGGAGCCCCTGAGCCTGAGAGAACCTGGGGGTTCTTAGAGTCACCTAGAATTAGTCCTGAGCAGCCTCTAGGCAATGTCACTTTGGGGGGACAGAGTGGATGGGGGCATATTAAAGGAGACCTCCCCAGGGCAGCCCCTCCCGGTTGCACTGTGCACCACCTGGCTAAGGTGAAAAGAAATCCCGGGGGCAAATGGAGAGACTACCACTATGGCGATAAGGAGTCCACGGAGACGTGCAAAAGGGCCGCAGCCCTAGAGCCTCTTTCTGTACAGACACAAAAGACTCCTACTTCGCGCATTTTCCCTCCACTTAAGAATCTGCGACTTTGGTGCTTCAGCATCTATGGCTACCCTCTGCGAGCCCCACACGTTCTGAAAGGTCGGGGGAGGGGAAGGTCTTCAGTCTCCAGAGGTTCTGGTCGGACCCCCACATTTATGTCAGGCCTATGTTGGAAGCTGCCAGGAGGAAAGGAGCTGCAGACAGCCCTGGTCGCTGGCGGCTGCCAGCCAAGGCCAAGGGGCCCCCTGCACAGCCAGATGCGCAATTGCTGGGGCCGCCTACCCAGGAACACAACGACATTTGGGGAGAGACTTCTCACCCCACGCAGACTGAAGCCCGGGTTAAGCACCAGAAAAGGTCGCTTCACAATAGCTAAGCTGGACCCGCGGCCAGACAGGCGGAGCCCGGGATACCCGCGGGGAACACCCACGCCTCTCCTTGGCGCCTTGCCGGGGAGTCATGGCGCCCCAGCCTCCCGGAAAGCCAATGCCAGCTCCCGGAGGCGGGGGAGCTAGCGGACAGGCGGGTCCCAGAGTCTTAGGTCCAGTGCTTGGAAGGCGGGATGCAGAGACTGCTGACAACGAGGCCAGCGCTAATTCTCAGAGCTGCAAGCTCTTCACAATGAACTTCTGATGGGAAAAGAGGGCAGCCATCCTCTCCTAGAGCTGCCCATATCCTGTTGTCCTGTCCTCTCCCTTTTAGGGTTACAGACACTCCCCAATGTTAGGGGCTTTACTGGGTGGGGAGGGCACGCAGTGAATTAACTGCTTCTGAAAGCAACGCCAAAAACAAGCTTAACACCTCAAGGCCAGGGGGCTGCTTGGAAGGGTGGCTCCGGTTCTGTCAAATGCAACACCCGATTGCCTCAAATACATTTCTGTCCCACAACGCCTTCAAGTATAAACATTTTCCCGAGAGAGCCCGCTGCTTCCTGCAGCCGCGTCAGCCCAGCTCGGCACCCGCACTCCAACTTATAGTCCTGCCTGCGCCTCCCCGGTCGCCTGGAAGAACCCTGTGCCAGGCATGACTCCAGGCTCCCTAACCCAGAACGACATCCTTGTCCCTCAATGCGTCTCATTTTTTCCCCCTGCATATACACTCAGCTAAATTACCAAAGCCTGAATGTGTCTTAAACAAAACCCTTTTAATCATCCCAGAGATCTGAGCACTCACAAGACCGCATGTGGTTTTGGAGAGCCGGGAAGAAGGATTCTACCCCGGACATCACTCTCCACACTCAAACCAACAAGAAAAATTATTTTTGCTAACTTAATAAACTCTCAGTGGCTATGACATATTTCAAAATACCTAATTTATCTGTTAAAAAAATCTCTCCTCGACATCATCAGATTATACCAAGGTATCATTTGCAACAGCTTTATCTTCAAGGAGACAACGATTAAGCAATCTCCTGTTGCAGGAATGTAGTTGCTCCCTTTGTTCTGTCTCCATACAACTTCTCACACTTAGGAGCTGCTTAGTACAAACAGCAAAACACCTTAGCTGCCGCGTGTTTCTAACGGGCCGAGATTGCTTATTAGAATCCAGTATTGGATAGATAAGGTACCGCAGCCTCTCCACCAAACGCGGCTTCTGGAACGTGAGCGCGCCCTCGTGTGGCTGTCCAGGCCCCTGCAAAGGCGAAATGGTACCTCTCCGTTCGGCTTACCTAGGGTGGCTGGCGCACAAACTTGCTATATTTAGATGCAGTTAAAAAAAAAAAATACAGACGGAGAGAGAAAAATAAACTAATGTTAAGCTCCTAAGAAGATAATACTAATAAGGCATTCAGATTTTAACTGATGCCCAGAATTTCAAACAAAGGAATCCCCTTCCCAACGAAATCATTTGTCCGCCTTGTTTCTATTACATCTTTCACCAAAGGTTGAGAGAGGCTTTTAAAGACCATACAAATATATTTTCTTTTGTTCCATAGCTTAGAAAGTGCCATAAGTTATTTGATGGGTGGCAAATTGCTTTCAAATATAACAAAGATGTAAGTCTGAACAGAACTTACTTTTTCAAATGCCTGCTTTTAATACTGCAGTTCTTCATTAGAGCAAAGGGAAACATTTCTTAAGACCCCCCCCCCCACATCTCCAGCACATCCCAGTTGTAGTGAAAGCTAATAAGCATTTTAGTCTAACCAGTATTTTCAAAAAAGAAGTCAATTGCTACTGAATTGCTCAAATATTTGAAGGGAAATTAAGGTTATTGATCCTGAAATTAGAAATTTTCTTAGATTTATGGGGAGCACCCAGTAGGATTCTGTGTGGTCATAAATGTGTGCATGGGTCTGTATGTGTGAGCATGTATGTATGAGAGTGGGTGGCAGTTGAAAATCACAGAAGAACCTTAAGGCGCCTAATTATTCAGAGAGGTTAAAGGTGATGACCTTGACATTTTGGAAGTTCAAAGGCATACACTTATGCACTTATGTTTTTCCTTTTCCCCCAAGAGCCTTAGCAATTAAATATTGCTGCATGTAAAATGCATACTGCCTCAGAAGATGCATGAGGTGCTGTGCATCTTATGGATTTATATTTTGAGTTTGGGCTTATGAGAGGTTAAGAGTCATAAGATTCAGTTCACTCTTTTCAGAGAAAGAGAAGCTTTTCTCACTTCTCCAGTTTATTGCACATTGCGGAAATCTCTTTTGGGCCCACCAGAAGGTGTATAATATAACCCAATTAAGCTGTTTAGAACTTTGGCTTTTATGGTGTTGTCTAGACAGTTCAAGGTTTTGTAAACAGCCTGGCCTGGCCCTGCAACATAAAGTGCAGTGCAGCCCTCACCACATTCTTTAACTTAAAGCGATAAATGCAGGAAGAGGCAGGTCTGCAGCCCTTGGCCTGCATCCAATGAGGGGGGCTTACATTCCCTGGTACAGGCCCACTATGACACTAGCAAGGACCCCAAACCCTTTCCACTCACTAAACCTCATTTTAGCATCCCTCCACTTACATATTAACAAGGAGGGTTCTAAATTTGGTTTCTTCTTTTAACCTGGCTCCTTGTCACCTTGTTAAGAGATAATTTGGATTTTCTAATCAGTTTTAAATTTTTGTTTGTCTTTTCAGAAATTCCAAGTTCAGTAGACTAGAAGTGGGGGTGGGGATTCACTTCTTAGGTTCCTTCTGCTCCAGCCTCACTGCCTAAAGAGGACAGCACCAGCATGGCTGGGTCACATCTTTTTAGAAATTCATCACTAACATGATTTTTAAAAACAGTGTTCCCAGAGATGGGAGGGAACAACTCCTATTTTTAGAGACTAAAAAAGTATTTCACTCGATTTTCAGAGAAGGGTTCTGGCCACTACAATATCCTAATCAGTCACTAAACTTCTTCGAAGAGGAAAATTCATACAGTGTATTGAAGCTGTGACCTCAATTTTACTAGAAACCATTTATTCACACACAAAAAGACAGTGACTCATGCCTTGATATGACAGACCAAAGGTACAGTTCCCAGAGTTTAAATAATCTGCGTTCAGGGAGGGGGAAGGAAGGGATATCTTAATCTCAGAACAAAACGCCAGCGCCTTCTAGCCCTGTGGCCTAACTCCCTACAGATCCCGCTGGGTCCCCGCGAGGACTCTGAGAGGGGGAGGGGGAACGACAGCACATTGGCGGTAAAATTGTAAAGGGACGTTTGCATTTACCATTTTCCCCTTATTAGGATCCGCTCGGCCAAGTCCCCGGTCCGCAGGCTGCAGTGGTCGCTGGGAGGTCTTGAGTTGACCGTGGGAAGTAATCGTGAAGTTCCACAGAGAAGAGGCGTCATTAAACCCAAGGACATTGGGCCTGCGGAGGGCAGGCTGGTGGGGAGGAGGGTGGGTCAGTGGGGCTCTGGGGAGGGGGCGCTTCCTGCAGCTTTCAAAATAAGGGGTTTCCAGTGAAATACTGCAGACGGTCTCTGTTCAGTTTCTTTTCTTTCATCCTGCGATTCTGGAACCAGATTTTGACTTGCCGGTCAGTGAGGTTGAGCATCCGAGAGAGTTGGAGTCTTTTCTCTTTGTTTATATATACGTTAAAGAAAAACTCGCGTTCCAGTTCGCGGATCTGGTACTTGGTGTAGGGACAGCGCTTTTTCCGGGACCTCTGGGGGGCCACTGCAAGGGAAAGAGATCAAGGGGTGAGAAAGGCCACTGTCTGCCGGGGGGCCCCCGCCCGCCCGCCACTGAGCTAGGGCCAGGCCCTAGCCCCGTTAGGGACGTCCCCTACAGTCGCTGAAAGGCCCTGCCTGCGTCGTGGGGGATGATATATGGGCGGGCACAGGAGAGTGCAGGCGTGGACCTATGTTCACGCCCGGACACACACACACACACACACACACACACACACACACACACACACAACCAGCCTGGCACGGAGATAGGAAAGAGGAGGGCGAGTCAGGCTTTTAACTGGAACCCAAGAGAAGAGAGACACGAGTGCGCCCGCGGGGGCATCTGCTCCATTCCAGCGGTGCGCGTCAGCCAGCGGCTTGGATAAAGTCCAGTGCAAGGATCACCCACCCCTCCTCCCTTAAAAGCCGGAGGCTCGCGTGTCCACACTCACCAACTAGCTCAAAATCTCACTCCCTCTCTCCGTGGTCTTCAGCACCCCCTTACTAAAACAGAGGGAAAGCTCTGTACTGCGATTAATGTCCTCCTCGAAGTCTACCTTAAGCCCACCTAAATTGGTTTCCTATCATAAACACGCTTTACAACGACCCGGGAAATCTTATAGGATGTATAAACCCCTTCGAATGCTTATAAAGTAGCACATAAAACGGCGCAAGCAGAGGGAGGCCCCCGCCGCCGCCCCCCCGCGCCCACGGCCCCTGGGCTCAGCCTCTCGCCCTGCATCCAGTTGCCTACCTGCGCCGCCGCTCTTCTCGGCCCCCGCCTCCCCCGGGGGGCCCTCGCCATCTCCGCTGCCACCTTCCGCTGCCCCCTTGGGCTCCGAGCCGGGGGTCGCCTTGGCGCAGGGACTGCCCCCGCCGCTACCAGTCCCGGTCTTGGGGTCACCCTTGTCAGAAGCACCCTCGGGTTGTGGCGGCGCGGGCGGTTGCGCGGGCTGCGGTCCGGCGAATGGGGGCCCGGGCGCCGCTTCATAGAACTGATCGAAACCCTGCGGCAGGATGCCATTGCGGCCCACCGCGCTGTAGAAGTTGGAGGCGGCGCCCGCGGGGCCGTGTGGTGGCCCGGGCGCTGCGCACACCGGCTCTGGCGCCTTGAAGAGTACGTCTGGCCGGCGACCCGCCGGCGGGAGCAACTCGCGCTGCATGGCCGCCTCCTCGGCCGCCGCCGCCGCCGCCGCTGCAGCCGCCGCCGCCGCGTAGTAGGGAGCGTAGCCCCCAGCGGTGCCGCCGCCCCCGCCAGGGCCGCCCCCACCGCCACCGCCCCCCGCGCCGCCGCTGCCACCGCCGCCGCCACGGTATGGCCACTTGGCGCGCTCCAGGCCGTAGTCGCGGAAGGCCACTTCGCGCACGGGCTGGACGTGCGGTGCCAGGTTGGAAGAGTAGGGGAAAGTCATCTGGCAGGACGACGGTTGTGAAAGGAACGACGGCTTGCTAGCGAAGTCCGACGGGGCCACATAGTAGGCGCAGCCCGGCAGGTACATGCTGGCTGCGCTCGGGCCGCACTCCTCAAAGTCGTTCATGGCTCCGTGGCGTGCACGCCGGCAAGCCCCGGGCCGCTCCCCGCGCCGCCAACCTGAGCCATCGATTGCACAAGAGGCTTGGGCCAGGATCAACTAAGCAAAAATCCCCACCGGGCGCTGACGTGCAATTCATCTTGATTGATTCTGGTGGTAATTATGTCACGTGACGCCATGGAGAGAAATGTCCTTATATCTATATCAGTGCTCGCCAACACGCCCCGGGACGACTCCTGGCGCCGAGACGCGCGCACGCTGGGGGCGGATCGGCCTCCTTCTCCCGCCAGCTCTCCCCAGGCGCCCCCTGACCAGGCTGTGCCGCAGGCCGGTCACCTGCGCGTCGCCGGCGGCTGCCACCGCTGGGCGCATCTGCCACCGCCCGAATGGGCCGCCCGCCCGCATTCGCCCGCCCGCGCGGCTTTAAGTACGCGGACCTCGGCTGGCGGGGAGGAGGAGGGAGGGGGAAGAAGGGGGAGGAAGGGGGAAGGGAGAGAAGCGGTAAGCGAAGGGGGGAGCCCCTGCCCTGGCACAGGGGACTAGGTGTGAGGGTGTGAGGTTCCCACTCCCACCCCCTTTCCTGCAGCCGTTCCCTCCCCCGCCATGCCGCCACCCTCTGCAGCTCACCCGCCAGGGAGCTTGTTGCTTCTTGTTCAAGGGGTGTAATTGCGCCACTCTCCAGGGATCAGGGAACCCTGATTTACATATTTCTCTGCCCAGAGCATTCACCTCGGAGTAACTTGGCTCTCTCAGGTTCTGACCCAGGGGGCGCGAGAGCTGGCCTCAGAAAAACCCACGCCAAACGCCTCCCAGGCTCTGGTCCAGGCCAGGACCTCGGTGCCCATTCGATCCTCTCTCCTCCTTTCTGGTTTCCCCCCTCTTCTTGTCTCCCTCCTTCTTTTCTTTACTCTTCTCCCTTTTCTCTATCCAGTCCTCTCTCTTTTCAATCTCTATTTCTTTTTCCCTTCTTCCTTTTCTTTCCCCTATCTTCTTCGGTCCCCTCATCCTCTCTCCTTTTCTCTAAGCTGTGTGTCACTGTCTCTTTCTCCCTGTAGCTTGTCTTCTCTCTCAGTACTAAAGGAGGAGAGAGCGCAGCCAGCAGAGACACCCCAAAGCCTTGGCTTCCCTAAAAGCTGGGAGGGGGATTGTCTTATGAACAAAAGAATCTAGCGTCCTACCTTCACTGTGCCTGGCCTTCAGCTCACCCACCAGGAGAGAGAAACACCCAGGTGCTTCAGGCCCTCCTTACCCCCACTGATTTGAGGCCTGGCCTGGGTCCAGTGTGCCAAACATCCAAACCCTTCACTGCTGTGAGAGCCCTGCCAAGGCTTGCTCATCCACAGGGCTCTCTCCGAACCTCCTTTTGCCCTTTGGTCGGCATGGCCACTGCAGCCCACCGGGACATCCGTTGGCTCTCCAAGGGTCTCACTATCGTCTGCCTCGAACTAAAGCCCCTCTGTTCCACCTGGCGCTAAGGCAGATTCTTCAGCACTTCCCATACATTCAATCGCCCCAAGGCTTCAATTTCCTCTAGCTTCAGCAACCCTCTCCTAGCTCAGGGGTCCAGGCAGGCAAGGCCTGGGTTCCCACAGCCCACCGGGGCTTTACAAAGGTAAACCAGTCTCTACTCAAACCCGAAGCCCAGAACCAGGGCAGGAGACTGATTCCATCCCCAGGATTTCTCTGTCCAAGCAACACAGCACGGAGGCCTGGGCCTCAGCCCTATGTCCAGAGCAGGCGGTGCTGGCTGTGATGCCGGTTTCTTCCCCGCCTGGGCTGCTGAAGTGCTGGTGCTGTGCTCTCTGTCCACCGTGCCGACAGAGAAAAGGCGGGTGGTCTGAGCTAATATCTATTTTCTGGCTGATGTTCCCCCCCTTCCTCTTTTTCTCCTCCCTCCTTTTCTCCTTCCTCTTATTCCTCCGCCCCTTCCACATCTGCTTCCCTCCCCCAACACTGCGCAAACAGGTCAGTGGCTACTGGAGGGCACCAAGCCTTTCCTCACCTAGAACTGTCCATTCTGTGCCCCCTCCCGGCAGCTGGCACCCCAGACTAGATTTCAGCTTGCACCCTTCGCCCCAGCCCAGATCCCGGCACACTTATCTGCTTCTCTATCTCCATCCCAGCCCCAAGGCTCTCCCTTTCTGGCTCCTGGTCGACGCCCCTGGATCTCTCTTCTAAAATGGCTCCCCGGACACTGCACACTGGCCCTACGATCGTTCAGGACCCAGGGCAGTGGCGGGGGCCCCCCAGTATGGTCTTCGAGTGTCGGGGAGGAATGCAAAAAATTCTCACACCTTCTTTCCTCACCGCACGGAGTGGGGCTCAGGCAGTCCGCCGCCCCCCAAATGAAGCCTGCTGGTCGCCGAAAAGGGAAATGGAGAGGACGAACCATTCAAGTTCAACGACATGGCGACGGCGGCTCCGGCGGGAGCCGCGCTTTGGCAGCAAAGGGTGCGCCATCTGCAGAGGCGCGGGGTGCATAGGGGAAGGGGGCAATGGGCCCCCTTGGCGCATTAGCACAGACACTCGCACCCCCCCTTACCCAACCCAGGGCATTCGTTCTGGGCCCAACCCGATTCGCTCTTGGCCCCAGCTGCCTGCTCTATCCTTACCCCCCTCCCCCCAAAAACAAGGAAAACCACAGCCTCTGGACCCGCGCGTTCCCCGCTCTCTCGAGAACCTACCGTGAAGACCCGGGCGCTGTGGCCTTGTCCTTGCCTATGCGGCCCCACCCGAAACGCAGAGAACACACCAGGCCTTCGGGGCGCAGCGAGCAGCTCTGCAAACGATAGCTTTCCGCACAGCGCCGAGACGCGATGCGGTAATTTTGAGCCACCCAAGATAAGACACTAACTTGACCTTAACTTTGTCAGGGCGCCCCTGGTATCTGGAGAACGTGAACAGACACTGTCTGGCAGCTCTCGTAAAAGCTGACTGGGGAAGGGATTCTGAGTCATTTCATTTATTGCCACTACAGTTCTGCAAGAAAGCTTTTCCTCCCTGCCAAACTTTAATTATTTATGCTCTTTTAGGAAACGAAAGAAGGGAAAAGCAGGGGAAAACACCCAGAGCCAGTCTCTTCCCTGCAGAGCCTTAGAAGAGGACTCCTGAAGTCTGAGGGATTAGAGAACAAAAATGTGGGGAGATCACCTTTGTCCAGGGACTGTCGGTCAGGCGCCTTGCCCCCACCACCGCCGCTGGGGGAGGAGGGGGTGGATGCAGCTGGTAGAGGCCAGTGATGGGACACACATACACCTCCCTCCTTCACCAGAAGACATGAATATTTACAATGATTCTGGATTTCTCCTCCACCGGCCCGCATCCCGGAAGCCTCCCCAGCCGCCTCCCTTGGGGAGAACCCCCAGGACTTAAAAAGCTTCCGTGGTCGATCCTCTGAGCTAGAAGCCGATTGAATACCAGAATAAACAGTCTCCCCCACTCCCCGCCTCGTTTTTAAAACCTTTTTTCTTAGTCAAGAGGCCCAGTGGACTGCAGCATTTTGGAGGACACATTTATCTTTCTACGAGGGATTGTTGAGCACTCGTTTCAGCATCATTTCTCTCTGCCATTTATTTCTTACAAATTTCCTCGTGATTCCAAATCTCTGCTGGGACTTCAGCTAGGAAGGAAACACCGTGGTATTTGTATTTGTGTGGATCAGCAAAAGGGATACATATGGAAAACACCACTGAACCAACAGATAAGATTTTACATTTAGAATAATTTCTCTGTGGGGAGTGGTCTTCATGAATATTGCCCCCATCCCAGACTAAAGGGAAAGAACATGGAGATTTAATGGTATGTATTTTTAGAGAAACAACCTACATATGTTGTCTTAGAGCCTGGATCTGAATAAGTCTAGTTTCTTCTTCCTTTCCTCAGCCCTCTGGACCCGAGGTCTCAGTGTGGCTTCCGCCTTTGTTCAGTTGTTTTCAAGAAGGCAAACCTCTGAATACAGACTGAGACTGAGACCAAGCTCTGGAAACCACCGCCTCCCAGTGCACAGCCAGGTGGGGAAGGCTTCCGCACTTCGTGTTTTTTTTTTTTTTTTTCCCATTGTGTATACATAATTTTAAAAAAACACCAATTAAGATATTGTTCAAGATAAATCAAATTTGCTCCAAAGAAGAGGAGTTACAATGTAGAATACTCAGTATTAGGAATTTATCTATTTTACTAATTATCTGAGAGCTATTTTCCTCCTCCATCAGTTAGGAGTTGGGGGTTTGCCAGGGAGTACCAAGCAGGTTCTGGTTTTACAGGACTGAATTAGAGGCTACAAAGGCATGGGGAGCAGGTCTTGAAGCTGCATTTCCCCTAGGGCCCACTGGGATCCTGGCAAAGGTCCTTTCAGGTATCTTCAGCAGGCGTGGCCTCTTCCAGAGAAGCCTGACTAAAACTTGGCAGAAAGATGTTTTGTTTTGAAATATGAGGAACCTCAAATTTTGGCACCCCACCTCTTAATAGCAAGATTCAACATTGAGAATTTAGGTAAAATATAGAAACCTCAACACATAACAAGCAGAGTCCCCTTGGTATTGAAGATACACTCAAATCTGTCCAAGGTCACCTTCCCCCCTTTGGATATTTTATACATATTCTGTTCATGGGCTTTTATAAATCATTCCTGAATGCCTCAGAAGCCCTTTTCCCATTTAATGAACAGTCAACACCTGAGGTAAAACCACAACCAGTGGGGAAAAACGAATTTGGTGGCTTGAAAAACATTAGAAGGGAATCCAAAGCATTTTCAAAAATCAACATCAGCCCCTTAACAGTTTGGCTGGGGCCTGAAAATTTATTTCCACTCAAAAACATTTCTGTGTCTAATATATACAAGAAATTGTTTTTGACAAAATTAAAACAAAATTTCATGACAACTATTAGCACAGAAAATGAAATAGTCTAAACATCAAGCCTCCCTGTAAGATGCCCTTCCCAGGTACAGGCCCTGGTCCTCTGCTGAAAAGAAATCACAGGGACTATGGGAAGGAATCATGAACCCTTGGCCTATCCTGCATCTTGCTAGGAGTTGGGAGGGTGCTACATCTCAGAAAGAGAAAAGTCAGGGACCATAGTAGTTTGGGAAGGGGGAGGCTTGGGTACATTAGAATAAGGTTGGAAGAATAAGGTTACTAGCCCTAGCACACCCCGAACAACACTGTCTGGGATTCAGGAACCCTGGCATCCACAAGACAAACCTGGTAGGGCCCAGGGCTTCATAGGCTTCAAGCAGGGCAGGCTGGATATGTCTCAGAAGGGACATAGTACATGGGCCTTTGATGGAGTTGGTGGGTGATGGAGAGGGTAAGAGAGGAACTTCTGGTCCTCTCTGTTCTTCAAGAGCAGCAACCAGGGACTGAGAATCTCAGAGGTCTCCTTCCCATCCCCTAACTTTTGAGGAGGAGTTTTTACCTCTCCTTGTGGTAGCACACTAAGGTACTTCCAGAA